AGAAGTTTTCTTCTTCTCGAGTCTCAATCGTCAGCTTGAGGCACAGGACTCAGAACTCATATATTTTTGAGAAAAGCAAAAAGACTAACTTGGAAACAACATGAAGGGTAAATTATATATTTTTTTAAAAAAATTAAATTAAAATAGTTTCTTTTTTATAAATTATCATGCACTTTGATTGAATTTCACTCCTTTTCAACTGCAACTTTATTGTTCTTAGTGAGATTATACAACTCACTCAATTCTATTAAAATTTATTCTACTTCATAATATTATACTCTCTTTTAACTCACATATATATATATATATATTCCAATTTTGAGGCAATTAAGGCTCTTTTTCACGTTATAAAATTTTTTAGTATGTGGAACTAATTATGTATAAGACAACAAAATAATGAGTTACTTATGGATAATAAAAAAGTGGTTTAATATTAATGTAGTAAGTTAAAACAATAAATATGAAGTAGCTCAAATATGTAGCACATGAAGGTACATAGCATCGGATTTTTGATAGAGAAATTTTCATACACACCCGTGAAAGAGGGAGAGGAAAGTAAAAATAAAATCAATGGATTTTCACCTCACACTTAGTAGTTTTAGAGCGAGGGAAAAGACCATATATGAGAGATGTAGAGGACGACTTGTAATGAAGAAAAAAATATTATTTACATAGGAAAAGAAAAAAAAAATTGTATATCTCACAGTTGGAAGAAAGTTTCATTAAAGAAACAACTATAAGACAATTAGTATTACAATAAGAAACCACTCATCAACCTTGGTAAGTCCTAAATAAACAATTAGCGAAGTAAAAAAAGAAGAACCATTTGTAGAATTGTTTATCAATGGCAAAGAAATAGACCATATGATGATGTTATACAATAAGGTGTTTGTAAAGGCCCACTGCTGGAGGAAAGATACAAAAATTCCTCTCTATTAGCTGCACCTTGGCCAGAACTGCTGAGTAGGTGTTGAGATCGAACACATACAGTTGTTATCTGATCTCAAGACATAAGCCCCACTCAAATTTCTTTATCTTTCTAACTACATCCCTCATACTCTCAAGAGAATACCAGCCCGACTCCAGAAACTTCGAGCATACTCATATACTGTCATCTCACCTTAAATCAAGTGTGCAAACTTTATTTCCTTCAAATGACGAAAATATTCTAAGAGGTACTCTACATTGAAGGCTACCATAAACTATTCCAAAGTAACTGGAATAGGCATGGTGGCCTGCTTCAACTGCCACCAACGACCTGCCTCACCCACGAGTATGTAGGTGGCAAGTACAACTTTTTATTCAGAAACCACCCCTAGAGTTGCAAAGGTCTTCTTCGTCTCTACTAACCAGTACTAAAACTCTTCGAATGAGGATGCCCCCGCAAAGGTAGATGAGTTTAGTCTCTTATACCTCTCAATGTAGTATGAGTCCATCATGAGTAGAACTGAGTCTCGTTGAAGAGGGACTGGATTATGTTTGGGGGGAACCAGGTGGCCTTGTAGCGGTACCTGGTTGTATAGTAGGGGCATCAGATTGTACTGTGGCGATGCTGGATGATATAGGGGAGGAACATGATTGTATCAGAGTGACACTGGATCTTCTCGTTACAGGGGTGGCTCATATTATAGTAGTGGTGACCTGTAATTAATTTTAAGATTTTTTTTAATTTTCATAAAACACAATGTTATTGATTATTAAGCTTCAATTTATCATAACAGAGAGAAGGATGAGAGATTCTTACTCCGAATCGGTATTCGAAATAATGTATTTTATATTACACCTCCTGACAGTTCTCGGGTTTCCCGAATTTTTTTATGAAAATCAAAATATGAGTCACGTATCCAAAAATACCCCAAAAAGAGAAAAATAAGTGTTTTTGAACTTTTTTGACCAATTTAGGGTTTCAGCACAGCGGCGCCGCCAAGCTCCAGTGCCGATTCCGCCGTCCACAGCGGTGGTTCTTCTCGGTCTGACCATTTTTTGTTGGTTTAAATTGATTTTGGCCAATTTTGCATGGAAACTTGTGAAAAACAAGGTTAGAAGGCCTTTGTCGACTAAAAAAAGGAAAAACCGAGACCTTACCAGCGCAAGGGTCTACGGGTGCAGCGGTTCTGTCGTTCCTCCTTGCGGTCGGGGTGTTTCTTCAGCTAACCTGCACTAGCAAAAAACAAGGAACACGATGGTCAAAAAATTGAGGAAAATAGAAAACAAAAAGGGGCTCATCAGAGAGGGTTTCAGATTTCGGCTGCGGCGGCTCGACTGAGTTCTACTCGTGTTTTTCAGCTCACCCGTCGACCTTTTGGCTCCGATATGGGCATAAAGAAATTTGAGATTAAATTCCAAGCGAATGAGAGGAAAATCTTACTTTTTCAGCGTTGGTGGTGGCTCCGGTGGCCGGTCTCCTTCTCCAGCATTGGGTTCACTTCCCGACCGCTCTTCTTCTTCTTCTTCTCCAGTCACCCCTCTATCAGCTAGGGTTTTGGTTCCCTACGAAGAAGAGTTTAAATGCTTCTCCATTAGATCTAAGTCATCCGTTCGAGGCAACGTGGCTCAACTGTAGCCGTTGGACCTCTCTCATTTGGGAAAATAATCTGAGTCGCACGATCTAATCAAATTCAATCATTCGATCACGGCTAAAGAGGAAATGCATCTGGGTCGTCTGCACGCATGGGATGTGATCTGGGCAGTTGGATTCCCTGACACGCGGATCGCCCGCATGGCCTCCCATGTGGAACTGATGTCAATGTGTCTGCTACACGATGCATTCTGACTCGTTGTTGCTGCTAACATGGCCGTCCCACGTGGCCGTATTTAACCTTTTTGCAATTTGACTCTCTGTTTTAAATTTATCTTTTAAAAATACCCCTTCTATTTACAATTTCATCCCTTTTTTAAAAATTATTTTTAATTTCATCTCCGAATCCATTTTTCTCTAAAAATTTCATAAAAATAAAAATTTAAATTATTTTAAAACATTATCTTATTAA